TTTCTCTGCAAATCACTGTGGACAAAGGTTCTACCTTGGGGGAAAAAAGCACAGGAATATTTTTGAAACAGCAATTTGTTACCTTTTAAAAGTGCTCAAAAATCTGATAATTGAAAGTAAGCTTTTCCTTTCTATCAGCAGGACTAACCTCAGGAACCACTCCCAATTTTGTGGATCTTGTTATGACTTCTCTCCTTCCTCAATTTAGAAAAATGGATCCCTTATTTTTTTGTGCAGCGCTACATGTGTAAGGAAATGCAGCCTGGAATGTATTGTATTTCCATACACATCTCATCAACTGTCACCAAAAGGAATTTCACAAACATAAACAAATAAAAAACCTCACATTAAAAAAAAACAACATTCAGCATTTTCAATTGCAAGTTCAGCAAAAAGTAAAAGTAATCTACCATTAGGTGTCAGTGTTGTTCTATGGAGTTGAACCATACCACAATTTACCATTTTTTATATGTTTCGTTTCTGCATGGACTAAATAATTAGGCTCCAACTAGTCTAGCACTTGGAGGGGAAACCACCAAATACTGTAATCCCAGATTTGTGTATTAGAGTAGGACTTCGGACAAAATATCCTAGAAGAAAGTAACAACAAATTGTGTTACTGTCAAGAGAATCCCCTGACTTGATTTGTTTGTTGAATGCGTCATCCCCATCCACAAAGTTGTTCCATTTACACTATAGGAAAGGATCACTTGTGGCCCAACTTTTCATTTCAACCATGTAGAAATTGGTTGCATATTTTAGTTAGGAGGTCAACAATTCCAGCTTTAAGTTCCTTAATAACCCTTGGTCAGAAGCCATCAGGACCTAGTGATTTACTTATGATGTTCAAGATTTGATGAATTCAGCTAACTTGCTTCCAATACAGATAATTATATTGATTGATAACACATCAAAACATTTTTTTCCCAAGGTGGATTAATGAATTTAAAGCAATCTGCCCAAACAGTTGCCTTTCCAAAATGTAGAATGCAGACAGTCATGCTGGCTACAAATTTTCGGAGCTGTAACCCAACACATCTGGAGCACATTAGGAAACACTGATTTAAAGCAAACTAGTAACTGTGTACAGCTATTTTATTATAATAATACACATTATTCTGTATCCAGAAATCCACTAAAACTCAAAAACAAAAATCCATTATAACTCCAAGGTTTTGGCTAGCAGCAAGATTGATATACAAGACATGGATCCTGAGATGTCAGTATGTGTCTGTGACTATAAAAATAAATAAATCAAGATTGCAATTTCAATTATATGATTGCAGACATCATTTTCCTTTTTGTGATCTCCCCCACCTTGCATCATATAAAGATATTCATTGCAAAATGGGAGAACTATTAGTTATTATTATTTCATTAGTTTAACCTACTATTCCTTGAAATTAGTCTGATCATTATATAATGTAATTATTTGCATTTAAAATATTGCAGATGTGACTTTCAGTATTACAGATATATGCAGCAGCTATATTTATATTTATATTTATCCTTAGATGCTTTGTTACTATTCTTTATTTCAGAACTTAAGGATTCAGCTGCATTTTAATTTACATGGCTTTAACAACATATTCTGTAATCAGCTGCTTATTGGAGAAATAAAACTCTTCCCATTGTGATTGATGTCAGGAAGTACATTTTCTGTGGTTGGAGTGATTTGGTAACATTTCATTTCCTGTTCCCCAAAGACCGAAACCTGAGACAATGTCCCCAAAGCATCATGCTCCTAGCAACACTAGATAAATAAATCTAGTTTTACTGTGATTTCTTTCCATATTTTTTATAACATATACAGTAAGTATGCAAACCAGAATCATTTTCACATGAATCAGCCACTAATGTTATTTCGTAGAGCACCTATTTCAAAAGAAGTTTGCCTCAAATAGTTTCAAATATTTATCACAATAAAATCTTTTGGATAATGAGTCAATCCATCTTAAAATTGTTAGAATTTTGTATTGTGTGGTTTCCTGTAAAACTTAAAACAGAACTTTCATGTAATGTATAAAAGTTGGAGGTGGCTCCTATATTGTCCTTTCAACATTGGTAAAAAAAATAAACATTGATTCTTAATTTTTTATATATATATTCCACAACGAATATTCTACATGCATAAAACTACATGTGTAAAACTACATGCATTAAAACTACATGCATGTTAGAATTAAAAATCTTTCTTATGCATAACCTACAATGTTTATTCTTTTTCAGCTAATTATATTCTGTTTACTTGCTCTATAGAGGAAAATCACACAATAGCTAATATAAATAAGCATGAAATAAATTTTGAATTCCATGAATTCAATGACAGACAGTAAATAATCATTACTAAAATTAGCATCATCTTAAAGGTCTCTTTTTGAGGTATAAAATTAAGAATCAGTATGCTGATTCACATTTTCATTTTTTTTTTACAACAAACGAAACATCACTTGAATGGTCTCCTTCAGGTACTTATTGATTAAGTTAGTAATTCTTATTATGTCAAAATTCTTTTTTCAAAACTTACCTAACAAGATTGTTAAAATGCTATAAACAATCTGATAGCAAATTTCTGTTAGAGGTACACTCTGCATAAATTCAACTGTTAGTAGTGGTACATGGTCTGAAATCCTGCTTATTGTCTCTCAGTAGCAATGCTACTTGTTTGCTCACAAACGTAATTGGACACAATGGGCAATGTGACTGTGCTAATTAGTGTACCTACTAGTGCACCTGAGTCACATTTAACCAGGGATTCTGCAAGCAACATGAGAACAACATTGCTTCATGGAGAAAAAATACTTTAGAATCAAGAACTGCAGTTTTACAATTTTCATGTTTTTTAATTACCGTACATTTATGCAGAAGATGAATGTAAGACTTTTAGCACTGATATTTAAGTTTTTAATTTGGTTTTCTGATCCAGATGAATTTTTACTTTGCTGGTGATACACAGCTCAGTCAAAGCCATCAATTGAATTAAACATTTAAACTTGCAGGAGGTGGGGGGAAAATCCATGAATATGGTTAACTTTACCTTCATCACAATTCCAAGATATTCTAAAATAATGAAGAGTTTTTTATATTATTGAGAAACGCCTGAGAATGAAGATTGAGTCTTCACTGACATATTGCAAGGCTTTTTTGGGGAGAAACCCCTGAAGCTGGTGTGGCAAGAGTTGGTACATTCCTAACAACTCTTTGACCCTCTGCCTAAGTAATTTTGCTCTGACTGATGAAGTTGCTCAGATTAACAAAGTTTGGTCCAGTTGCCATGATTCATCCTTTAGACACATTATAAAACAGGCTTTTGTAACTTGGCTTTCTTCTAGTGAAATGCTCAGATTTTTATTTGTTTGTTTTATATTTAAAGTTAGTCCATATTTTTAAACAAATTTCCTGAACGGTGATGTCCCAAGTTCAAGATTCTTTAATAAGCATAAAAACAAATAGCTTCTTATTTTGCACTTTTACTGAAATGGCTAATGCCAGCCATTAACTAATTCTAATTGGTGCATTTTTATTGGATATTTCAGTGGTGGCAGAAAAGAAAAGGAGCATAATAGTCACCTATCCATTTGATTTTAAAAATCTAGTATAATCAAAATAATTTTTAAAAAATCAAAATAATTTAAGCAGGTTATTCTCTTCTCTAAAGACAAGCAATTGGAATTTATTTTCTTCCAGCTATTGCAGAACTATAACTCTCAGTATCCCTCAATTCTGGCCAGACAACCAGAGCTTGCTAGTAACTAAGCTTAATTTTAATACTTCAGGTTCCCCACCTAGGGCATCTAGGGCAATTTCATTAGATTAAGGAATTACTCACATAAGTCTTCAGAGAACAAAAACACACACTATGTACGCTACACTACTAGACCTACCTGCTTCAAAGTAAATTATACTTAGAGAATATAATTGGGTACATTATCACATATATATATTTAGATTTGCAGGCTGTGCGTGCTTATTTGGGAAAAAAGCTCACTGAATTCAATGGTATTTATGTCTAACTAACCATGCAGAGGCTTGGATGAGGAGAGTTAAACTCACACGGTTTTTCTTAGCACATGTAGTCAGTCTTTCCTCCGGATTTTAAGGACAAACTGTTCCTGCCTCAGCTATAAAGGATTTCTGAAAATACATTTGCTCAGGAAGAAGGAGCCCTAAACAATGTATTTAAAGCAGCATCATAATCATTACTAAAAAAACCCCATAGTTCTAAAACATTTCAATTTCATTTAATCTAAAATTACCATTATATATAAATTGGCCAATTAAAAAAAATCCAGACATCTAAAACAGGCAAAGCTTAAAAAAGAAGTTGGTTCAAAATACCATCCATATATTTTATGATCTGAAAACACAAAATTAGGCACAAAGTACATAAATTTCCTCTGGGCAACATGACATACATTCCAATGATCTAATGATGTTGACTGATTATTTCTGACAGATCTCTCTTGACATGATTTCATCAGAGAGAAAGAAAAAAAACAACTTTCCCAATTACTGAAAGAATGAGTAGCAAAATCAATGCTCAAGGTATCTTTTTTATCTATAGCTTGTAATACTTTCCCTGGATTAGGTGACCAGTACAGCAAGAGAATTTAAGACCACAATAGCAAATAAGTAAATGTGGACCGCTCATATGAACAGAGCCAGCCAGATTCTTTCAGGCCACTCCATTTCCATTTTTATCCCTTCCATTCAGTTTTTCACTGTGAATATGCAGGATGTCCTGCCCTTAGTCCCACTAGAACAGTAACAAGAGAATTCGGGAAGAGAAAATGCTGTGGTTTATGCACTGTGGGAGGTATTACTGTCTTCATTTAAACATCTTGTTGCATACCTTCATTAGAGTCCTTTCTTTGTTCTTTGACTCTTTTACTGAAATCAACAAAGCTTAAGCTCCAAAACTAAAACTTTTAGAAAATTGGCAAAAACAGTGTTTGCATATACAATAGTTTACTTTCAAAAAATATTTAATATATATATATTAATATAAAAACATATACTTTTTATAGATCACTACAGAGAAAAACATTTTCAGGTGATATATTCTTATAATGAAATGTTTATATTTTATTGTCATCATTTTCATTTAAAAAATAAAAAAGCTATAGTTCTGAAAGTGTTTGAGTCCCATTTCCTAAGGCACATCAGAGAACAACAGAGTCATCTAGCTTCCAGTTCATTTCAAACATAAAAAATTTCCTTTGTTCAATCTCCTTAATATATAATATTCCTTGAAGTTCCTTTTACATAGCATTTGGAAGTGCATTCTTACAGAGGAAGAATTCCACAAAATATGCAAATGTTTTTGTAGAAATTTTGTACTCCTGGGAGAAAACAGTATTTATTTAATACCAGCATTTTGTGCTTTCCACTGAATGATATTTTATTGCTTGCACAGGAAAACAATTTTATGTATATCCAAAATAACCCAGGAAATTTTAATTGCTATGAACATATCTTTTTTAAAAAAAGAAATTTCTCAACTGTCAATTGTCCATATTTTCCTTTAACCACATGATCGTTTTGGTCATTGATTTTTTTCTTTTTTCATTTTCAGATTTTTCTTTCAGCATTATGTCTGTAGCCACTACCTTTTCTTCAGGTTCAAGGGTATTATTAAGCAAAACCTGTATCTAAAATAAAGCAGACAAAGAGTAATAAGGGCAAGTGTTAATCTAAGCAGTGTATTTTATAACATAATTTAGCGTAATGAAATACCGTAATCCTTTTTTTTATAGAGTAGAAGAAACTGCACACAAACAGATAAATGGAAAGTCAAGTTACTGCCATTCTTGTCAACATTCCAAAAGTCCTTCCAGACCTGGTTATATCACCAAGCTTGGGTCCCAGGAAACAAATAACATCCTAAGATAGGTCCACTCTTTATTCTCCCATGCCTCTGGTTTGTATATCTTTTTAATATCCTTTAATTTTTAATAATGATTGGTTTATATTTTGCAATCATTGTATCTAATTAATTGTTTTTATTTGATCATTGTATTCATTGTATTTACATAATTGTTTTTATTTGATTATTATATTGCTTTTCTATGCTCTGGCTGGAAAAACTCAAAGAAGTAGTGCAAGATTGGAAGATGTGGAGAGACCTGGCCCATAGAATCACCAAGAGTCAGACACGACTAAATGGATAACATCGTCATCATCACACAAGTGATTATACAAATCAAATATATAAATGGAAATGGCTTAACTCTTGTTCTTAGTAATTTTGGAAGCAAAGGTAGAGGAGACATTTCACTGGGGAAAGTTCTAACAAGCTTGCTTTCCATTTTCTCCTGCCCTAGCAACCCAAAACTGCTTCTAAATGCCACACAAAGTATAAGGGGATGGGATTTCACATATTAAGTTAGAGAAAAATTCAAATGGGGATATCTTATAGAAATAAAAGTTGCCCACAGAAAGTATCTCCTCTAAGTATTAGATGGAAATTCACACATCCCAGATTTATACACCAGGTATTGGGCTGGTGGTTAAGGCATCAGGCTAGAAATTGAGACCCTTCCTTGGACATAAATAACCGGCTGGATGACCTTGGGACAATCATTCTCTCTCAACCCAAATCACCTCATAGGGTTGTGATTGTGGAGAAAATAGGAGTATATAAAAATGTATTGTGTACATTTGCCACCTTGAATTATTTATAAAAATAATAAATGCACGATGAAAATCCAATATATAAACTATCAATATAGTAGTAGACTGCAAAATGAACATGTGTTAAATTTCTTATTGCTATTTAAGAATTGGGAGTAGAATCCAGATCTCAGAAAGTAATTGACCCACTTTATTCTGCCCTGGTCAATTCCCACATGAAATATTGGGTCCTTTTCTGGACACTGCAGTCTGAAAAGAACATCAGCAAATTGGAACAAGTTCAGAGGAAGATAATAAGGGGGCTGGAAACAATGAAGAACAATTAACACAACTGCAAGAAGCTGGAGCAGATAATAATAGTTTTCAGATACAAAGAAAGTAACTGACTTGTATGTTAGCCCAAATATCAGGACCACAACCAATGAACTAAAGCTACAGGAAAGTAATTTCATTTAAGATCACATATGGAATTTCTTGACATTAAGAGTCAGCCATTGAAACAGCTTGCCTTACAAAGTGGCATGTTTACTTCCAGTGGAGGTCTTCAAATTGAAGCATGGTAGCCAGCTAGCCAATAAATGCTTTAGCAAATTCTGCACTGAGCATGGAATTGCATAGTTGGCTTCTAAAATCTCTTCAATCTCTAAGCTGTTATGATTGTGTTTTATTTATAGATCATTAGATTTTTATCCCACTTTTATTTTGCATCAGCAAACATACAGTAATAGTCCTTCCTCCTCCTATTTTCCCCACAACAGCTCTGTAAGGTCACTTGATCTGAGAGATAATGTATGATCCAAAGTTACCCAGTTGGCTTTCATGTCTAAGGGAGATCTAGAATTCACTATCTCCTGAAGACCAGCAGCATAATCACTATACCAAACTGGCTTGTATTTTAGGGTAATATGGCCCCAGCCTGCCATTCAAATGCTAAGTATAGCCTTTGGCATAAAAATAATTGAACTGTTCCATTTCAGGGCAAATACTTTTAATTACCTTATTATGCTATATTTTCTTATTCTACTTACCATTTGCATTTGAATGTCAGTAGTGATAGTGGTCATGAGAACATTCAGTGTGAACCTGTGACAAAGAACATTGTTACTTTTCATAAAGGAAAAATTTTGAAAAGATGCTCAGTTTATGCTGTAATATTTTCACCTTTCAGTTTTTACTCAAACTTACTCTGAAAGAATAAAATTGAACTGTTAAAACAGGTTGATTTAGGGTTATGTACTTAAGATGGGCAGCTGTATAAATTTTCTAAATAATCTATATGGAAAGTTCACACTACATTTGATCCAATTCTTTCTCAGTAAATCTAGCGAGCCTAAGAACATCTAGATTTCAGCTCATGGAATGCTAATAGGAGAAGAAAAGAATAACACTCTTAGTTTAGAACTGGTTCAGGTTGCGTAGAAAAGAGATTAATAAAAATTACTTCCCAGCTTTCTGTGAATTTACAGTCCCAGTATAAATGGATATATCAAAGAATTTTTCTGGATTCATACCAGAATGTTGCTGCTTACAGCAACAGATTTTCTAAAATAAATAAATAAGGGAGCAGTTTTTTTGTTGCTTAATGTTGATGTCTAATTCTGTTGTTCATGCATAATGGAATAAAATATTTCAGGACAAATATTCTCCCCCAACCCCAAACACATGGAACTTGACTGTCATTACCTAATGGGCAGATCTGACCAATTTTCTGATACAAATGTCCATGCTGTCAAATATCCAATCTCATTCTTGACCACATTCTGAATTGCTTCGGCTGTAATAATTGGTAGATTCTTCTCATCATTGTGGATATAATGCAAGTATCTGCACAGAGGTTTATTCACAATAAATCACATTTGTAAGAAGAAAATTCATTTCTAAAATGCTACTAAACATACAATTATAAATGGGATCACTTATAAATAATGGAAAGAATGGGGGGGAATATACAAAGTTACCATTGTTATAGGAATTACAGATACGTTTTGATAATGTTATATTTGGAAACTTCAGACAAAGCTTGTATTATGTCTTGAACAACTAACTAACCCACCAAAGCTTTGATACATTAACAAAGTCATTAAAAATGTTTTTCCTTTCAAAACATATCAACCACTACAGTCACCCCCATTATGGAACAGTGCTGCAGATAGTTTCTTCTAAAAACACAAACAACTGAGGAGATAGACAAGGATCCTGATTTCAGAACTTTTAAAATTATAGTCTAGTGTTTCTCAACCTTGGCCATTTTAAGATGTATGGACTTCGGTTGCCAGAATCCTCCAGTCAGCATCCCTAAAGCTCCCAAGGTTGAAAAATACTACTATAGTCAGATTTCTATTTTCAGTCAAACAGTAAGATTCAGTTTTCTGTAAAAAAGACAATCAAAGAAATGCACAGAAGAATGCAGATAAGACCAATTGGATACATGGGAAACAATTTGGGTTAGAAATGTGAGATTTACTCAAGCTCAAAATTTAAGAGAAAATTTTTATAAAATGTTTTATAGGTGGCATTTGGATCCTCAAAAATTGTTGTGCATGTATCCTAATTTACAACCAAAGTGTTGGAGATGTGGAAATTTAGATGCAACTTATTTTCATATTTGGTGGACATGTAGGGAAATAAAAGCATTTTGGATTAAAATTTGGTGGAATATTCAAAATGTTTTTAAGAAAAAGATAAAGTTTACAACGCAGATATTTTTGTTAGGTATTATGGAAGATTTGGATGTTAAAGAACCGAATTTGATGTTGAATCTTATAACAGCTGCAAGATTACTGGTAGCTCAATATTGGAAGTCGGATCGTTTGCCTACTATAGAAGAATGGTCGCTTAAAGTGTCAAATTTAGCAGAAATGGCCAAGATTTCCGCTTATGTGAAGGACCATTCACAAGAAAGATATATCTCGGTTTGGAGAAGATGGATAGATTATATCCAGAATAAATATGGGACTAAAAAATTCCATTTGGTTTTTGAGTAAAATTTAGAGTATTATTATTGTTAATATTTTATAATAGTTTATTTTTTCTGTTATTTTTAATTATTACTATGATATTATTATTTGTTCATTATTGTGTTTAACTTTAATTTACTTAAATTTATCTAAAAAGGGAGTTAAAGTGCTTTATAGATTTGGTAATTTAATAGTTGGTTAATGTTATTTAGATTATGATTATTATTT